AGTCAGCGAAACACCCACGATTTGATCTGGCAAACCATGAGGTGCATGCCTCCTTAAACACACTACGAGACCAGGCGTCATAGCTGAAAATCAACTTATTTCGACGAATAGCTGGACGATGAGTAGATTAAAACTATTCCTGACCATTCTCCACAAGTTCTCGGCCAAGTTGAGGCCATGGCCAGCAAAACAATAGCAGCTGTAGCACACGCCTTGTCCCAGGAACACAACGAAGAAAAATACATCACCCATTGTTGCCATTATGTAGGAATCTGGAACTCAGTCAATAACCGATAATCACAGCTTATAGTGCCGCGAGGAGCACTAAACTCAGTAGCTCCGGCTACATACCTGACTTCCACAATCTTGCAACATCGAAACTGGAGGAGAAACGGCGACGAGAACCTTCAACATAAGCCAAGTTCTCAACCGTCATCTATTCCCTATCAATGTCGGAACCGGAAGTAATATATAGCTTTGGGTGAGAACTAAACAAGTTCCAGTGGACCAAGAGGTGGAGAAAAGACGCTGGCGTTGGATAGGATACAAGCTGAGAAAAGCTGAAAGCAATATAATTAGAATGTATTTGCAATGGAACCCACGGAGTCATAAGAATACAAGAAAAGAAAAAAAAAACACAGAGAAAGGAGCAAGAGAATGAGATTAGAAAGATAGGGAGGTCAGGGAGAGCTGCATGCGATAGCGAAGGATAGAACGGCTTGGTGTGAGTTGGTTAAGAACCTATGCTCCATTGGGTGATAGAAGGCAGAAGAAGAAGACCGTTCGGTTGCGAAGTAACCTGCAATCAAATGCGGGTGGGGATTATAAACAGTCAACGTAAACATTTTATAAACAGTCAATTTGAAAATATACGCCCTTCAATTTAGGCATAGATTAAACATTCTAGAGAATATCATAGTTGTGGAAGATTATAATCAACAATTCAACAATTGCAGACAGTCTATGTGAGCAGCAGGGTACAAGAATGCCCTTTAAAAAAGGAAAAAATTTGGTACGCAAAGGGACGCAATAAAGGTACCCTTTGTAACGCGTCATTTTATTTTAGCGTTACTCTAAGAACAGTCAGAGCGCTGAGTACCAGCACCATTTTATACACTTTATGCTGAGTACCAGCACCATTTTATACACTTTATGGTGAGTACTGGCAACATTTTTATACACTTTATGCTGAGTATTAACACCTTTTTATACACTTTATGGTGAGTACCGGCATCTTTTTATACACTTTAGGTTGAGTACCAGCACCTTTTTATACACTTTATGCTGAGTACCGGCACCTTTGATACACTTTATGCTAAGTACCAGCACCTTTTTATACACTTTATGCTGAGTACCGGCACCTTTTTATACACTTTATGCTGAGTACCAGCACCTTTTTATACACTTTATGCTGAGTACCGGCACCTTTTATACACTTTATGCTGAGTACCAGCAACTTTTTATACACTCTATGCTGAGTACCTGCACTTTTTTAATACACTCTATGCTGAGTACCGGCACCTTTTTATACAGGTAACTGGCCTTTTTTTTTTTTTTTTACATTTCCCACCTGAGTTGGTAATACAAATTCAATAAAAACTCGTGTTAAATTAATAGTCAGAATGAAGAAGTAAATGAATTAACGAAAAAAAAAGAGGTCTACAAACAAATCAGGAGAGAAGATATAGCCTAGCTCTGTAACAACAGTTTTGCTATATCTTCTCTCCTGATTTGTTTGTAGACCTGTTTCTTTTCAGTTCGTGCGCGGGTAGGCACACAACTGGTCTTTAGAGATAAAGACTTGCTCTGCCGCTGCCACATCTGCGTTCTCATTTAAACCGCGGCTGGGTCGTTGTGTTGCGGTTTAAAACTAGGCTGCGATGACTGCCCCCTTCGGCTCAATACGTCTGATTTCAGCAAGACCTTTTTAGTCTCTCTGCGCCCCCTTCCCCCCTCCGAAGAAATAATCGCATATCGTCACTAAGAGCACCTCTTTAAACATGTATAGAAATTTTAAAGCATTTATTTACAAATTTCAAAACTGAGCTTGACTCTCAGGTCGATCCAGACTCGAGGGGCACCAGGTGTAATCATGGGAAGTAAAGGCGGCCGGCGTGATGCTGTCCACATTACCCACCCAGTGCTGATTGGTCTATAAACTATAGATTTTGCCTTATATGCCCAGTACGCCTAAAGGGAACTACTTCCCCTCCTAGACAAACTCTAAAAACCAAAAAGAAGCAGAAATACCATATATGACTAAGCTTACCTAATCAAGTCTTTTACAATCTTGCTAATATTAAGGGGATGAAAAGTGCGTGTTCTGGAAAAAAAAAGAGGGGGGGGGGGCACTGAGCTTTTCCCCGCCTTTCCTCTCAATGTCTTAGTTTATCGGAGATGTGGGGGGGGGGGGGTGATTGCTGAAAATAAAAGTATGAGCCCCTCTCAGCACAGAATGTTTTCTTGGTTGCGGTACGCCTGCTCTCCTCTGATGGTAGACCTACATATGTGTGTACGTACATATGTACCTACGTACATACATACATGCGTGCGTACGTGAACCCTCACTATGCATGTAAATTAGCCATAATCTTTTCTAATAATCAAAATAAAACGCAGGAATTCATGGAACCACTCCCACTCAAACAACGTCAGGTTTCCCAAGTTTTCTCATGTGACAGCCATGTTCACATACATAACATATTGTACCGATCAGCACTATGAGAATTGAGTTACATCTCCTTGTAGCCAGAGTTTCATAGAGTAGTTTTACTTATTGTGTATGTGCACACACGCCTGTGTACTTGTATGTGAAACTTTGTATAAATATTTTCTTTTTAAATATTCTAAGAATACAAGAGTACGATTTCAAATGCAGCATACAAAAATAATATGAAATTTCTTTCAGGCAAACCCTCCCCACCCCTCCCCCTCCCCGCCCCCCAAATATGTCCGGTGCAGATTTTAACCTAAATGCTTTGAGTTACACAACGTACTTTTTGTTTATTATTATATATAGGCAACAAAATGATCAATTTCGACAATAACTGTAATTAGATTTCATTTTTGTTTTTAATAGATCAATATAATTTTATTTTTTAAAACAAATTTTGACTTGCACAAGAGTGAATATGAGTTGCATAAGCGTAAATTGGGCTTGCCAATCCTGTATGACCTTGCTATAAAAAGTTATGTTTAATCGTCTCACTTTCTGTTGAAAACTTTTTGTTCTTTCTTTTCTTCTCTCTCTCTTCCTCTTCGTTCGGCTCTAAAATTGCGGTTGGCACATTGTGTGATTTTTTACAACTAGGCTGCGATATATGCGAAATTCGGCTCAACACATCAGATTTTTAGAAAACTCTTATTAGTCGCTAAATACAACATGCTTGTAAGAGGTCGTAATTCTATTCTTTTTATCCCCCTAATTTGGGCCCCTGAACCGACATGGGGGAGATTAACGTAAAGGGATATAATAAAGTTTGCAATAGGTTGTCTGCTGTTAGAGATGTTAGGCTTTATTATTTTTTTTTTTTATATATACTCAGTCCAGTTAATAATCTTACTTTGTTTGTATTATTGTTGTACAAAGTCAGGTTGACGGCACATATCTTTGTAGCGCTCTTTTTCATAAGCAAGGGTCTTTAAATTAAAACCTTACAAATGTGACGGAAATTGCGACCACGCCACATTATCGAGTAACCTATTAATATTGTTTTTAATAGAAATGTCGTCATCTCCTTCTGGGGTGCAATTTTTATTTATTTTTGAAGCCCCATCCTGGCTCTTGCCCGGTGCCTCAGTATAGCCTGGCCATAAATATAGCCTAACGACTGAACGTGGTTTCCGGGACCTTCTCACTGGTGGTCCTCATCCGCCTGGTGGTACTTTGTGTCATCGGGAAATCATCGCGCTGTGTGTTGTTTTTGGTGGGATAAAATGTACTACTACTACTTTTGTTGTTGAGGTATACATCACTGTCGTCCCTATGTGAGATGCAATTTCTCTTTGTTTTGAAGCCCCACCCTGGCTTTTGCCAGGAGCCCTAATTATGCCTGGGCCATAAATATAGTTGAACGGGGTTTCCGTGACCTCTTCACGGGCGATCCTCACCCGCATGGTGGCACCTTGTGTCAAAGGGATTTTATCGCTTGTGGTGGGGTACAACTTACCAACCTGTTGTTAAGGATTTCAAGAATGTTAAGCACGCAATACCACGGTACAGACGGATACAGTTTAAAGATGCCACCTTCTCCACCCCCACTTTATACGTGAATTTAAAAAAAGTCTGGTAAGGACATTGTCATTGTTACTCACAGTTAAAAAGCGATTCTCCTGTACAAGGCCTTTAAACGGCTGCAGTCAACTATGAGGTAAGTACTCGATGTGCCTGGCCAGATCGTGAACAGCCCGTCAAAGAAATCACGTTATTTTGAAACTTCCTACTCCAGTCATACGCTCATTGGACTAACAGGCCTGCCTCATCATACTGAACTGCAAGCATTCGCCGATACATTTTCTATAAGGTGCACCCCTCTACTTTAAAAAAAAAAACCACAGATAAGGCTAGTAGAAACGAAATCGGACATCTTTCTTGCATCAACCTATCTTTTGGAAACGCATAAAATAGCTACATAAACTGTATTCGACCAAAATACACCATTGACTGGGTCGCCCATTGGCTCGCCGATAGACGACTTCGTCGCCGCTCGGGACAGTATTTGGGTCTGTCTCTTTTAATTGCATCAACACTGCAGATGTCCTTTTCATGGATCTTGGTGGCGTGCAGGGCTACGTCATTTTATAGGGCGCACATAACCTAGTCACAATTATAACCTAAAGCTCCCCCTTCATGGATGTCTGCTGAAATTGATTATTTTTTCCCAGCAAAGCCGCTTTCTACCTATTTGAGGAAAAGCTTAATTGTAAGCTATTTAAGTGACACCAATGTTTTTAACTTGTGTTAATCTATTTAAGATTTATGTTTTCCACAGGGACAACAGACTGCGGGACAAAATTACGAAATCCCTAACAATTACCAAGCCTATGTTCCAACGACACCCTCGCCAGAAAATGTCAACTGTTACTTTGAAGTCCCCATGGTGAGTTTACCTAATGTTTAGTTGGTTAAGTAAAGTAAAGTAAAGTAAGGTAAAGTAAAGTTAAATTAAGTTAAGTTTAAATTTAAGTTAAGTTAAGTTAAATCGAAATCATGATTTTTTTTTTTTTTTTAAACTTAGTATAGTTAATTCATGGTTTTTCCCTTCTGTGTGCTTTGTTTGTTATACTGTTTTTTTTTTTTTTTGGTTTTTTTTTTTTTTTGTTGTTTGCTGATGAAAGTTTGTAGCCGCAAAGTCCTTCGGTTGGTTACCTAATTGTACTTTTGTGAAGCTCCACATTGGCGGCATCCAGTGGTCCCCAATCTGAAGGCCTTGCCTGTAGCCGGCAGCCCCGTCTAACAAAACCTGCATGGCCATTACGAACAGAATCGGTGAAATCGTACATCTCATCGCTATCCTAACCTAGAGTTTAGTCAGGACAGAGAAGCGTATGGCGAGTTTTGAGAAATATTGCTCGATCATTTCAGTGATCTGTGTCGGTACGGGGAACATGCGAAGGGCCCCATGTGCGTTGGCGAGGTCCAACCATATCCGATGCAATTGCATTATGTCTGCCTTAGCTCTCTAAACGCTCTCCTACATCATGGTCGCGTGTCCAAGGCACCCTGGAACGCCCGTGATTCCACCTTTTTGAACCCTCGAGTCGATTTATTTGTTTGTCATCAAATACTGTGTGAGCCTGCCTGCCATAATCGAGAAGAATACAACTTGTATCTTGCCCTCCACGTTCATCAGCGATATAGGTCTGAATTGGGAAAGACTGGAGGCGTCTCGCTCCTTGGTAATGTAGTCTCCATTGGCTTTCTACCACTGTGTACATATGTGCTTTCGGCTCCTCTTAGCATGCGGCGAAGCATTCGAAGGACTTTTGGACAGCGTTTATACACGATCTACGGTACATTATTGGTTCCTTGGGCAGATTTGCCGCTGGTTCTCTTCAAAACCTCTTTTACCTCTTTTACCTCTGACCAAAAGGGAGGCATCGTTTACACGGTACCTTCTGCAACTTTGGCCGTTTCAGGCCTCTGGTGATCTCTGGGTTGTCATCTAGAGGTTCACTCCTTATCCGTTCTGAGTACATCTTCAGTAGATGTGATTCCAGCTCCTCTTTACCGACCACCTGAGTTACTTGAACAGGCCTCGAGCAAACTGAAACGGGTCACTAAAGAACATCTCTTGCTCTCTTTTGGTTCTCCGTCTGTTCTTACAGAAACGCTTGGCGCGATAGAGGGCACCAAGTTTGCTCTTCAGGTGCAGCCAGACTTCGTACAGCCCCTCCATTTCGCTGACCGTAGCGGCTTTGACCCTTTTCTGAGTGCATTCTTGTCTGCCCGGAACTTCTCGATGTCTCTCTGCCTCCGGCTTTTTTTTCTGCCTGACGCCCGGCTGCGTATCTAAACTGTCCCGAACACGCAGGCACAGTGATTGTATATAATGTCACTAAACCGTGTCGGCTTGTTATCTGGCGACTTTTCCTTAAATTCACCGTTAATTTTCTGACACGATTCACCCATATATGGTAACTATGTAAACTTGTCACATGTGTGTCGTTCAACCCAACTAGGACCGTACAACGAGCGACCAACACCAGGTGACACAAAGTGCCACCATTTGGATAAGGATTCCCCGGGCACAAGTCACGGAAATCCCGTTCAACTGAGAGGTTACGTTTGAGCTCCCGACAAAAGCCGAAGTGGGACTTTAAATAACGAAAAATTGCGTCCCATATTGGGACGGCTGGTAACTAACTTGGCACCTAGCACAGTGCTGTTTTTATTAATAGCGGTCATTTAGGGCATTCATGGAAACGAAAAGGTGATCAACGAAGTAACGAAAGGCATAATAAGTAAAAACAAAATACATGTAGCATTAGAAACAAAAATCACTGCAAATTGCGAAGTATAAATATTATGATGGGAAAAAAATATATTAGGTAGGTATAGGCCCAACTCAAAATTTTGAGCTTAACGTCTTCATCAGGTCATCATAAAAAATTTAAAAAAATAGACAAACAGAAGAATGGATAACAAAATGGAAAAAGCATTAAACAGGAAATCATTTTTACAACTAGTTCATACCGGAAAATTTATGGTAAGCAAAGGCCGCATGTGAGAGTTAACCACACCTCTCATCGATGACTAGCTGGTCTATGAAACACCACACCACTCATCGATGACTAGCTGGTCTATGAAACAATGTAGCATCATGTGTCCAATGCACCACTTGTATGAAAAATGATGGTTTATTTCTTTCTTGCAATGGAACCATATGTCCTATTTATAGCCTGCAAGGCTGGGCGTTTTCACATTTTATGCAACCGAGTTGTGTGCCGCATATTTCTCTCTATTCTGATTACTAATTTTCATTTCATATACTATATATCTCATATATATATATATATATATATATATATATATATATATATATATATATATATATATATATATATATATATATATATATATATATATATATTATCATCATGTAGCAGGTCCTTTGTAGAACGTCGCTCTCATCACAGTCTGCCTGTAAAAAATTCTGTCTCTTGCCAGTTCTCCCGCCTCATGAACTTTCACACTCAAGGAGTCACTTATATCCTGTACCCATCTTCGTGTCGGTCGGCCTCTACCCCTCCTTCCTGGTACCATGCCTTCTGCTATAATTTTTTCCAATCCGTCGTGGCGCTTATATATATATATATATATATATATATATATATATATATATATATATATATATATATATATATATATATATATTTACACACACACACACACACACACACATATATATATATATATATATATATATATATATATATATATATATATATATATATATATATATATATATCATATAGTATGTCTTAAAATAGTTTATTATTGCGTCCGTCTTCGTTTTGTGTTGTTCTTGTTTGCTTTTTGTTGTTTGTTGATGAAGGCATATCTCCGTATTTTCCATTATTATAGATTACATTTAAATTCTTCTTCTTCTTCTTCTTCTTCTTCTTCTTCTTCTTCTTCTTCTTCTTCTTCTTCTTCTTCTTCTTCTTCTTCTTCTTCTTCTTCTTCTTCTTCTTCTTTGGGCTCGGTTTCGTATGCTTAGATCAGAACATCCGGTGGGTTGCCTCTATGAACTAGCATGTCAGTAGCAGGTCCTCCATCGTTTCCCATAGCTTGCTCTGAACACTTTGCTCTTGGAGCCAGGTCTCATTACCAAAATGTAAGTAGAGTGGACAGGTCCGCAGAATGTGCTCCGGTGTATGTGGTCCTGTTTGACAGGCACACTGTGGGGACTGTACAATCTTTATTTTATGCATTTGGTACATTGAAATTGAATGTATGTCTACTATGGTTACCTTCATAAAATACACAATAATTGATCTGTTATACTGTGGCTAAGGCTTCAGTTGAGTTAAGTCAAAGACTGGCATTACAGCACTAAAGACGAACTGTCATAGGTGCTGTGTCCTCACCTTCACATGCTGTTGTCTTTATAGAATGCACAAATGTTATCGCAGTGTCTGGTACTGTCGACTTTATATAACATTAATCAGTTTATCTACTACTGTTGTCTCACTGAAATATAGTAACCTTGTTATATCTGTCTACTGCTCCTGTCTTTATAGTAAACATCTTCGCGTTCAACAGCTGTAAACCCTGACGAGATATCTGATTATTCACCCACTCTTGAAATTTAGTCTTGTTCCAGAAATTGAGTTTTGCTCGCGAATGTCATTCACAAATCTAGCTGTTTTTTTTTAAAGCTGATTGTTGGTTCCTTGCCTCTCAGGCCTGTGCACTCCGACTTCAAAGTAAAAACCCATAAATAGTCGCCTTTTATTACATGCGTGTTAGGGAGGCAGTGGATCCATTTTTTATTGGGGGCCACAGAATACACACAGAGTCTTTATAGAATACAATATCATTGGTTGATTTGTTCACTGTGTTTGTCTTTATAAAATAAATTACATTGCTATGCCTGTCATTTGTCGGTATCTTTATAATAACTGCAATAAGTTTGTCTACTAACGTTGTCTTCTCAGCTTGCACAATACTTTTGACACATTTGTCTGATGCTGTTGTTTTATAGAATGCATTGATTTTTTTTAAACACGTTTGTTGTCTTTACATAATGTAACAACGTTTATATGTTTGCCTAACATTGTTGCCCTTTCAGGATAAAATAACACTGATCTGTTTGTTTGTCTGCAACTGTTACGTTTGTTTAACAAAATTAACAATAACACATATGTCATCTGCCGGTGTATATATTCATTAAGATTTGTCTGTGTGCATATTATTGCAACCGATATATAAAACATAACCACTGACTTGTTTGTCCACTATTGTCACTAATACAGACTATATTAATACTGATCTTTTTGTCTACTTTTGTCACCGATATAGAATATATTAACAATAATCTGTTTGTCTACTATTGTCACAGATAAAGAATACATTAACATTGATCTGTTTGTCTACTATTAGCGCTGTTGACGAATACAATAGCATTGATCTGTTTGTCTACTATTGTCACCGATAAAGAATACATTAAACTCATCTGTTTGCATACTGCAGATACCGTTTATCCTCTAATAACATTCATCTGTTTATGTTCAAGGTGCAGACGGTTGGTGGACGATGCGTCCGCTTCGGTCGCAGTCGCAGATGGAGCTGTCAGTCAGGCATCCACATGGAAATGAGTGATGACTGCGAAAGGTTGAATCGAAGGCCTGAACCAAGAAGACGAACCAGACCTCCGCGAAGTTAGATATAGTGAAACAAGCCACTATTCGACAGGAACCATTAGTTTTGGGGCAGACATATATTAAACAGACGCTAACAGAACACAAGCAAAACAAAAACTGGTTATTTGAAAAAGAAATTGGTGCAGTGTATATTTGTCATTTTTTCGATATATTGAATTAGTAGTTAGTTAACGTCTCCACAAAAAAGACAGTCTGCCATCAATATCCAGCAGTCATTGTCTATAGTCCCTGTAGTAGACTCATTGTCTATAGTGCCGGCGGTACACACTTTTTGTCTATAGTCCCGGTACTACACACTGTTTGTCTATAGTTACGGTAGTACACACTCTTTGTCTATAGTCCCCGTTGTAGACTTATTGTCTATAGTCCCTGTAGTAGACTCATTGTCTATAGTGCCGGTGGTACACACTTTTTGTCTATAGTCCCGGTACTACACACTGTTTGTCTATAGTTACGGTAGTACACACTCTTTGTCTATAGTCCCCGTTGTAGACTTATTGTCTATAGTGCCTGTAGTAGACTCGTTGTCTATAGTCCCGGTAGTACACACTCTTTGTCTATAGTCCCTGTAGTAGACTCGTTGTCTATAGTTACGGTAGTACACACTCTTTGTCTATAGTCCCCGTTGTAGACTTATTGTCTATAGTCCCTGTAGTAGACTCGTTGTCTATAGTCCCTGTAGTAGACTCGTTGTCTATAGTTACGGTAGTACACACTCTTTGTCTATAGTCCCCGTTGTAGACTTATTGTCTATAGTCCCTGTAGTAGACTCGTTGTCTATAGTCCCTGTAGTAGACTGGTTGTCTATAGTTACGGTAGTACACACTCTTTGTCTATAGTCCCCGTTGTAGACTTATCGTCTATAGTCCCTGTAGTAGACTCATTGTCTATAGTTACGGTAGTACACATTCTTTGTCTATAGTCCCTGTAGTAGACTCGTTGTCTATAGTTACGGTAGTACACACTCTTTGTCTATAGTCCCTGTAGTAGACTCGTTGTCTATAGTTACGGTAGTACATACTCTTTGTCTATAGTCCCCGTTGTAGACTTATTGTCTATAGTCCCTGTAGTAGACTCATCGTCTATAGTACTGGTGGTACACACTATTTGTCTTTAGTCCCGGCAGTAGACTTATTGTCTATAGTCCCGGTAGTAGACTTATTGTCTATAGTCCCGGTAGTAGACTTATTGTCTATAGTCCCGGTAGTAGACTTATTGTCTATAGTCCCTGTAGTAGACTTTTTGTCTATAGTCCCGGTAGTAGACTTATTGTCTATAGTCCCTGTAGTAGAATTATTGTCTATAGTACGATAGTACATATCTTTGTCTGTTGTCCCGGTTGTACACATTCTTTGTCTATAGTCCCGGTTGTACACACTCTTTGCCTATAATCCCGGTGCTACATACTCTTTGTCTATGGTCCCGGTGCTACACACTCTTTGTTTATAGTCTCTGTAGTACACACTTTTGTCTATATTCCTGATGCTACACGCTTTTGTCTATAGTCCCGATGCTACAGACTCTTTGTCTATAGTCCTGGTGCTACAACACTCTTTTTCTATAGTCATGGTGATACCAACTCTTTATCTATAGTCTCGGTGGTACACACTCTTATACTGGTGTTCGCCCATCTCTTGATACTATTTTCCGCTTTGTACCACTTTTTACCTCTTGCTGAAGGTGCGTTTAACGTTTCCCTTCAGTGTGGTTTTTGCGAGTGATATGTCTTGTATTGTCATATACTAATTTGGTCTTTTGATGACAATACTGCTGACGTTGATGTTCTTAGAATCTTCAGCAGTGTTTCCCTGAGGTGCTATTGTTATCTAGAGGCAACATGCTGGAAGAGCCGTGCGGTGACTCAATCTTGAGTTGAGCAGATATCACAGCACTCGGGACATTCCCACGAGCGCTGTGTGCTCACCTTCAGCAGCCAGCGAAGATCTCTACTAACAGCAGTTTGATCTTGCTTGCCAGGTCCCTATTAAATAGCACGATAGAATCACTAATGTAGTGATTTGAGAGAGAGAACTAAACAAGTTCTAGTGGACCAAGAGGTAAACACAAGAAGCTGGCGTTGGATAAAACACATGTTGAGAAAATTGAGAACAGTATAACTGGAATGTCTTTGCACTAAAACTCACAGGGGCATAAAAATAAAGCAACAAAAAAATTAAAAAAAATAAAAAAATAAAAAACACGGAAAAGGGAGCTAGAGAGCGACTTTAAAAAAATGGGTAGGACATGGGTAGAACTGTGTACAATAGAAAAAAATATAACGACTTAGCTTCAGTTGGTTGAGGACCTATCCTCCACTGCGGCTTAGCTTAGAAAGGCAGAAGAAGAAGAAGAAGAAGAAGAAGAACCATATGTCATTCCCCACCGCTCAAGACTCTCCGTATAGTAATGATCATCAAATCGCGCGTTCGCATTGTTCAGTTGCTGCTAAAGAGAGTTGACCACATTTAGATTGTCTTTCATCAAATCACCGCCTGATGGTGCCTCACCAGCTAATCTGTCTACCGATTAAATCTGTCAGTGCTGTTATCGCCTTCTAAACGCTATGTGCTTCCTTGGCTTCTATTAGTGTCCAGTTATTTTCCTTCCTGTAACGTTCCGAAAACCTCATCATTAATCTATTCTTGACTTAGATTTTCAAAAAGACACGAAAATTATTGTAATTCCAATACATTTTCAAACTACTTAACTAATAAATATCACCAAATGATCTTTGTTGCTTGTGTTTTATGTATGGGATTTGTTCATTGTAGTTCCAAATAATTAACTTGTCTATCTTTATTTATTCAGCGGCAGTTTTTTTTAACAGGTGAACGCAAAGCATATCGGTTAGGTGCTCGTCTGCTAGATCGAAGGTCTGTGGTTCAAATCCACATCAAAGAAGGCTTTTTTTTAAATAAACATAATCATCTACCCAACCTAATACGTGTACCAGGTATTGCCCTGGAGAGTAAAGTCGGTAGGCGAGATTTGTATCCGATCACCCATCAAAGTGCCGATATGTCTATACATTCTGGCGTACAAAGTGTCATTTACTTATGTGTTTAATAATTTTTTTTACTTACTCAGTAAAGACTCACTTTCCCATACCTTGGGACTTACTGGACATATGGTGCCGGTCCAATATTGTCAACCAAATCTTTACTTGCTGCGTCAACATCAGACCGTCGGTATCTCATATCAAATCCTGCCTCCATTTTGGGATCAGTGGACATGGGGAAGCTGCATAAGAGTTACAATTCACCTTGATTCCCATGGTAATTGGTCGGAAGTGGGTTTAGTTTCAACATGTCGTAAAGCCAGAGTATCGGTTTAAACATGTGCTGCGGCGATAGGATATGTTTAAACATGTCATAGGGACAATCTATTGATCGGTACACATAGAAAGAAGGAGAAAGACAGAAGGACATACTAGAAAACATAAAAATCTAAATCTAAAGTTACCGTGCCGGGAATTGAACCTGTCACCTCCAAATAGCGTGTGCTCCTCGCTAAGGAAACCAGCGTAAGAACATAGCCTAGTAGTAGTCATCCTCCCTCCCCCCCCCCCCCACTCCCCTAAAAAGGTGTCAAGACGGGCATATCTATCGTACAGCTTGAAATCCACAACTATGGAATGAAGACATAATTCATTTCAAACCACTAAAATGGCAATAAAGGTTAGACAAATTTATATTAACTGTCACATATCACTCCTGTCACGTGCCTGATATAAGGATTTCTCCTTCAGAACTAACAGCACTCAGAAATAATTATGTTGAATCGTTTGGCTCGTATTGGTCTAAGGGATTCCCCGTGACCAATATAAGCTCAACTTATTTCTGGAGTAGGGCAACTCAAGTATTGGCACTACAAAATATATCTGTATATGAATACAATATTCCTAGGCACACTTGGCTGGACACCCCCACTACTTACTAAAGAAAGCCCCCAGGTTATGATAATTCATTATCATAACCATGTTAACACATATATCTAAGATTCATACACACACAAATGCTAAACACTTAAAAGGGTGAAAAAGAGACACCTAAGTCAGCCATGAAAATGAATGCATGTAATCAATACAACATATACATATATATATATAATAGTGAAGTAGATGCCAGATCTCAATAGCTGGATTCCAGAATACAATGTCCAGATTGCAAAGATAACTAAACAGCCAGAATGATCTGGAGATGACACAAATTCATCCTTGGGAAACATGGGAGCTGTGAGGAATATAGCAAAACATGGCATCAAACTGGCACTTATCCTCTTTCTATCGTTGATGCTTCCCTCAGCTCCTGATGATTCGACTGTCTTTGGTAACTCTGCCTCAACTGGATCAGATGGTGAATAAATACCTCACCATTAAGGACACAGCAACTGGATAGGCGCACAGCAAATCTCTCCCACTAGTCATTCGCAGCACTGTCCCTGAGCTACACACTTGCTCTGGCACTGTAGGATGTTTGGGGTATATGGTACCCCATCTTGAGGATGTCAGTCTTCACAATTGGTAATTGGGTGATAATTGGTAGGTAATAGGTTGATTTTTGGTTGCTTGGACTGTGATTCTTCTGCCAGCTCTTCACAAAGGTTTCATCCTGCCAAGAAAGAACTCAGAATTAGTCATCACCAAGAGGGTAACATCTTGACAGGAAAGACAGAATAAGTATCAGTCACCATCCCACATTAGCCTACTCCACCCCTGCTCCCCTGTTTCATTCCTCAGAGTGCACTCTCAGGACCAGGAGACACTGTCTCCTATCATTCATCTGTCTGTTTAGTGCAAGAGATGGAAAGTCAGATATATAGTGGAGATAGATAGACACTCTAACACATATATCAATCTCTCTCCCCCTACCCTCTGCACACAGACACCAATATTTACCGTCAGTACCTCTATTCCCTACGACTCTCAAGCCAGTCCCACACATTCATTGATCTGGGTCAAACACACTCACGCACTACTGACCAAGTCCTGACCTAAATTCTC